AACCCTGCTTGACGCCATGGAGGACCTGGAAGAAGTCAGAAACTTCACCATCGACTGTCACTGTGGCTCGCATGTCCGTGTGGAAGGCCTTGATGACGCCCAGTAGCCTCGGTGGGCATCCGAACTTCTCAAGAATGCGCCATAGAGCATCCCTCCCCACGGAGTCAAAGGCCTTCGTGAAATCTATAAACACGATGTACAGTCCCATCCTTTGTTCCATAGCCTTTTCCTGAAGTTGTCTCAGGGCAAAGATCATATCTGTGGTGCCGCGGTCAGGCCGAAAACCGCACTGACTCTCCGGTAGTATTTCCTCCGAGATTACTTGCAGTCTTGACAGGGCCACCTTTGCAAGTAGTTTACCCGCAATACTGAGAAGCGAGATACCACGGGAGTTACCACAGTCACGCCTGTCGCCCTTGCGCTTGTAGATAGTCACAATCATGGCGTCCTTGAAATCCTGAGGCACAGCGCCATCCTCCCAACATCTCGGTACAGCCACAAAAGTTCATTGTGCAGCACCTCGCCGCTGTGTTTTAGCACTTCAGCTGGTATACCATCGACGCCAGGCGCCTTGCCAGACTTGAGGGACTTTAGCGCTTTCTGCAGCTCTTCTATCGTGGGTGGTCTGTCCAGATCATGCCGCGTCGGGCGCTGCTTAAGTCTCTCAATAGCTGCACCGTCGACAGTTGACGGCCTGTTTAGGAGCTGCTGGAAATGCTCCTTCCATCGCTTCAGGATTTCAGCCGACGTCGTGTAGACAGTTGACCCGTCAGCGCTGAGAACTGGGTTTGAGCCTGAGTGTCGGGGTCCGTAGACCGCCTTCAGTCCGTCGTAGAAGGCTCTGGTCATGTGAGCATCTGCATACCTCTGTAGCTCCTCCGCCTTACAGTTCCACCATTCATTCTTCATTCGGCGGGTAGCACGTTGGAGCTTTGAGCGGGCATCTCGCAGGCGCTCTGTTGACCGTCTTGTGCTCCTTCCAGTTAAAGACTGCTGTCGGCAAGCCCTCACTTCAGCTATCAGTCTCTCTATCTCGGTGTCGTTTTGATCAAACCAGTCGGCATGCCGCCGCCTTGGATGCCCAAGGACCTCTCTTGCTGCAGCGTAAACCACACTGCTGACTTGCTACATCGCTCGTTGACACTCCTGTCTGGCGAAGTGGGCTCCTGTAGCTGGTTGATCCGGTCAGACACCTTGTTTTCTAGTTCCTCTGCCTTTGAGGTAGCAGGCTCACGTCCAGTTTACGTGGAGGTTGCCTCGCACGTTTTCGGTGGACTGGTGCAGTACGCAGGTTACATACCGCCCTCACCATGTAGTGGTCTGTTCCACAGGTCGCACCTCGCATCACCCTTGTAGAATGCACGTCCCTAAGGTCGTCTCTGCGCACAAGGATGTAATCCAGCAGGTGCCAGGTGCGTGATCGTGGGTGCATCCAGCTGTAGTACCACTTGTCAGGCATGGCAAAGAAAGTGTTAGTAATGGCCTGGTCCAATTCTGTGCAAAGCTCCAGCAACAAACTGCCGTTTGAGTTTGTCCGACCTCTTGCTTGTGTCCCTAGCACACGTCCCCAGCCAGGACGGTCGTTCCCCACGCGCGCATTAAAGTCACCGAGGACAATAAGCTTATCTGCTTTTGGTACGTCATTCAGTATATGCCCGAGTTCCGCGTAGAAGTTCGCCCTCGTGGCATCTTCATAAGTCATCGTCGGGGCGTATACAGCTACCAAAGTCAGGAACCGTTTATCAGCCAGCCTGATGCTGGAGAGACGGTTGGATATTGCGGACGGCACTGCCGCAAGTCTCGTCAACACGTCCTTGTGTACAGCAAACGCCACCCCGGCTTGATGTACGTCACCGCCTGACCAGAAGAACGTGTAGTGCTGCTCCGTAAGTTGTCCATGACCTTTCAGTCTTGTTTCGGATAGTGCAGCCACGTCCACGTGGTATCGGTGCAATTCCCGGTCAATGATCGCTGACAGCCGTTCAGGCCTACCCGACTCCTCACGGTCTAACATAGTCCGAACATTCCAGCAGCTCAAAGTCAGTGCTGCGGATGTGATACGTTTATGTATGTGTTTTCTTGATTCTGTTTGTCTACCACTGTGGTGGAGATCCCGTCAGCCGTGGCCTGCTGACCAGGACAGTGCCAAGCGGGCTTTCGTTTACCCTCCCTTTTATCGGGGGCTTCCTCTGTTGAGGCGGGCAGTGCTTTCCCTGGAGAAGGCTGCCCTGTCACTCGCGCAGGACCTCGCAGGGCTTCCGCTTGGCTAGGTCAGCCTCCGCGCGGCCATCACATCGCGAGCCGCCAAACGTGCAGGAGTCCAGCTAGTGGCTTCCAGCTTCTCAGGCCTGCCACCGTTGTTGGAACTCCCATCGCCGTACAGGTAAACCATTGGTAAACCTAGCATCTTTTGTCTCTTTCAAAAAATCATTTTTACACAACAGTGGGCACATATTTGAAAAACGCCAAGGGGGTCTCCCTCATCACCAACGAAAACGGACATGTTTGCAAGTGAAATATATCAAGGTCGAGGTTATCCAATAGCTTAGTTTGGGAAAATTCTGACCAGTAATTGTGTTTTTTTGCCTATTATATACCGTAGATCCAATATGGCGCTGACATAATACGGCGTTAATTTATGCAGAAAGCCGAGCTACCAGACAAAGAAGTCTGTACAATTTGTTAGTTAGCAAGGGTTATAGTCGACATGGTAATATTCAAGTAAGTTT